ATATAGGTCTTCTTCCAAAGTAATGCGTTAGCACAGGTTCCCAGGTGGGAGCTGAAGGGCTCGTTTTGCATGGCTGCCTATGACAGTCACAGGATATATCATGAGGTTAGATGTTGCTGCTAGGATGAAAGGGACATCATGATAGCAGAACCCAGGATTCACACCGACAGACTTGTGTTCCTCCAGGACTCAGCAGCATTTGCCTTGGGCAAGAATATGGCAGAAAAAGCAAAATGTTCAGCAGCTGAAAGAGATGAAAATATGAACACAGACTAAATTAGAAGACATTTACAATAGAAAGGAGGGTATGAGATCCAGGAATATAACTTGCCTTGCAATATAAGCAGCAGGAACAAAAATTTCAGGCGGCAGTCAGTGTCAAGTGTGAGTGCTCACTATGGCACAAGGCAGCATTCACTAACCCCAAACATCCCTTCTGAACTCCTGTGTCCTCATACTGGTGCATTTTGGATATACCCATCACCACATCTCACACACAGCATCAGTGTAAGATTAATTTAAGGGACAGGCCACACTCACTCTGCTTTGGATATTAGAAATAATGGAAATTAGGAAAACGTTTTTTACAGAAAGGGTGATAAAGTGTTGGAATGGTCTGCCTGGGGAGGTGGTGGAGTCACCATCCCTGGATGTGTTTAAAAAAAGACTGGATGTGGCACTTGGTGCCATGGTCTAGTTGAGGTGTTAGGGCTGGGTTGAACTCAGTGATCTTGGAGGTCTCTTCCAACCCGGTAATTCTGTGAAAATATTTTATATTTTGGACATTAGAGCATTTCTCCCTTAAGATAGTAAATCTGGTATAATTAGATACAGCATAATTAAAAATAGATTTCACAGAAATTAATTTGCAAACACAAAGATTCAGGAGAAAATTCAGTCCTGTTTTAATTCTCCTGGAGTCATCTGAAATGACCTCAGGGATAAATTTGGCCAGCTTGAATACCCATGTCTCATTATTACCAGATGAGCTGTGCACCTACAAAGGGGTAATGGTTCTTTTGGACAAGTGTGATCACATACAGAGATGGGCATGCCCAGGATGGAGACAATGGATAAAAGTGCCTCTTGGTTTAGGATTCTCTAGCACTCATCTGCTGGTTTCACTGTTGGTTTTGCTTAGCCAAAAAATTTAGTTTCAGCTTTTCTTCAAAATAACACAAGTAACGCATTCTCCTTCAGGTCACTGCTGCAGTATAGTAAGCGCTGGGTGGCCCTTGGGAATATGAGCTTTCAGACAGATTAATACAGCTTGACTGAAGAAGGGAAGATGACAGACACTCCTTAACAGACTCCAAGTTGGGCTCATCCTTGAACTGAATTTTCTTCACAATCTCACAATTCCTCAATTGGAAAAGTCAGTCCTCATATAATGAAGTGCAAATACTTTTGCTCTTGGTAATTACTTTTAATTTAGACACTGGACAAAGGGTAAAGATTCACTTTCTGGGTTTTTTTGCTTTTACTGACATTGTTTTAAATATTCAAATACACAGACACCAGAACCACAGGTTCAGTGACAATAACTTAAAAAAAACACAACAAGCAAATATTTTACAAATAATCTCAAGTTTCCATGAAAAAACTGGCAGCTTTTTAAGGTACTATACACTTACTCAGTGGATTTGCAATCACCAGAAAAGCCATGGGGCCTTCAGTACACAAGGCCCTTGGAAATTTTATCACAGGGAGCATACCACAGCTACTGGGTCATCCTTGACTTTTGAAACATTGTGTGAATTAGAAATAATGATACTAAAATGATGCACACATATTATACTTGTCTGTGGTTTGCCTATAAAGGAGATCACCAAGGACAAGAAAGAAGATAGAAATTTTAACTCTTCCCTCTTGGCCCCCAAATTGCCACTGAGTCTGTTGCACGAGGGCACAAAATGTTTTATTTCATTCAGACCATGGGTGTGCTGGGTGTCACTGAGGCAGCAGAGCCCAGGGCACGGGGAGAGGCAGCTGCCAGGCCCTTCCAGGCTGCAGGCAGCCCTGCCCGTGCCACTGCCGCAGCGGGGAGCGCGCAGCCCCACGGCGACACACGTGTCACCATCGGCCTTCGGGGACCCACAACCCGCCACTCTCATTTTAGCACTGACAGCCCTGCTGGCATCTGGGGAAGATGTCTGGCATGCAGACACAGGCAGCCAGTGGCAGAGCCCCAACAACAGCAGAGCCCTGGTGAGATCTGCCGAGGGTAACAGCACGAGGACACGGTCGGGAGCGGCATCTCAGCTGATGGGCCAGGGAGAACCCTGGCAGGAGGAGCACAGTGCTGGCCCAGAAACACAGGCAGGATCACAGCTGGAGGGGCAGGCACAGCCAACACTCAGAGCAGCCCTGCGTGCTGCCCCAGGTGCATGCAGAGTCCATTTCTTGCCTTCCCTTGCCCCTGGAGAAGAGGGATCTGTCCAAAACCTGGTCAAAAGTGCTGCACTCTGAAAACCTTTTCTGATTCACCCACTTCTCCCCCCAAGAGCAGAGCTCCAGCCACCTCTAGCTGCCAAGGATAACGAAGTCGAGAAAGGGATGTTATATTGTGTGCCTAGCTATTGGAGAAAATCCCACTTTTATCTTAGCAAAACAACTTTCCCTTTCTACTGCTGGCAGAAAGGACTGTCCCCACCTATCTGCACTGCATAATGTAGCTGCAGCATCTACAGCAATGTTTACCTGAGGAAAAGATATTGGGAAAACAATTTGTGCCTGGTTTCCAGACTGCAAAAGGATGCAGCGCTTGGAATCCGTGAAAACAACAACAGCACCAGGTATCAGCCAGATCCAGGGATCACAGTTTGGAAAAGCCTTCTGGGAGGACAACAGATATTAGAGGGCCAGTTCAAAGTGAGTACTGGGGAGATAGGCAGGACAAGAGAGTCAGGCTTTTCCAGCACTGTTAGGTGTGATCTCAGAGCAAGGTTTTTTCCCCTGCCATCACAGCCCCTGAGAGACACCAAGCCTGCCCTTGCAGTACCTGTCTGCACATCAGCCCTGCACCGCCCAGCCCCTGCCCTCCGCTCGCCCCAGGGCAGCTCCTCACCCCCCTGCATGTCACCCAGGCTGTCATCTGTTCAGCACCCAGTACTCAGTACAAAGACATCAATATGAAAATACTGGGAGCCCCAGTGGATTGAATCCACCACTCCTTGCTCACACAACATGCCCACACAGCAATGGGAAAGTTCATGCCTTGTGTTCCTAAGAGCAGGAATCTTAGCTAATATTGCTGCTCATTAAAAGCAAAAAACAACAAAAGAACCCAACAAACCAAATCCAAGACTCTTTGCAAGGCTAAAAGGAAAAAAAAAGGTCCTGCAGTCTTGGGAAATGTCTTTCCCAGTGGCTTCTCCTAAAGGATTTGATTTAGGCTTGTGAGAACTTAACACATTAAAAACTCACCCATAATTTGCATGCCCCAAACAGCAGGGAGATATCATGAGATCTGGTAGTCCTGAGATTTCTTTCCTTTGGCAAAATATATTCCAGAATTCACTTGAAGAAAAGTTCATACATCATTACAAGTAAATTGTATTCAGCCAGTGAGTGAAGAAAGGGCACAAGATGACACATTATCCTGTGGTTTTATTATACAAGCTTTGCTCCCTTACCTCATTTGCAAAATTAGGGTTGGTCATAATCCTTCCATCAGTCTTTCCTGAAAATTAGCAAGGGCCCAAACCAGATTTTCGAATTAAAAAAAAAATCTTCCCACACTTTTAAGAGATGTGAAAACGGATTTGCCAAATATTTCCTTTGAAGGAGCTTTCTGAAGTACCGGCTTGGCATCTGAATGCTAAAATGCTTCTTTGCAAGTGATTTGGGAGATGCTCTAGTGAATATTCCCCAGAAACACACACAGCTCCAGTGATCCCCTATTTCACCCATTCCTCTGAGAGGGAATGAAAGGGCATGTGGGCCAGAAGGTAGACAAAGATAAAAACCTTTAAATTATATGCTTTAAAAACAGCATTATTTGAGAACACCGCTTATTTCTGTGTAAATGCTCAGGCGCGATAAATAAAAGTAAGATCGAGCAAGGACAAAGCAGCCTGCAAAATCCTTGGAGACAGGCACCCCAGTGCATTCTACCAGCTCATGTTCCCCCTGAGCCTGGCAAAGTCAGGCCAAAGAAGTCCTCCAAGTGAGGTATTGAAACCCCTTCTGGGCAGGTCTGAGCCACTCGTTGCTGTGCAGGAACCCAAATGGGATAAGCTGCTGTTTCTGCTTCTGCAGGGAGGACAGGGGCTCTGAGAAGTCAGAAAGCAAACAGCAGAGCTGTGGAGAGGTGAGGGAGCAGGGCCTGGTGCTAGACTAGAGAGACAGCCCCTGTACCTTGCCTCATGCTGGGGACCAGGCACTCCACCCTTCAGCCCACCCAAACCCGCCGTGGGTGGCAATCCTCGGGAGCCGTGTCCTCCTGGCTCCTAAGGCAACATTCCTTATCTGTAAAGCAGGAGCATGTCGGCCTTGGAGCTGGCTGTGACAGCAGCACCCAGACAGAGCACAGAGCACAGCCTGAAGCACCGTTCTGCAGTGCCCAGGAAAGCCAGCAATGCCCAAAGAGTGCATAATTCAGCTGGACATGCTGAATGGAACACACCTTGCTATCCCCACGTTGCCAATGGGAGCACAGACACAGAGAAGGTAAGTGACTTGCCTAAGGTCACACCAGAAGTCTGTGGCCAATCCCAGCCCCACGAGGCCCAATCCACTGCCTTAACCACACACCAGCTCCTCTCTTTTATGTGGTGCCCAGGCAGAAACTGAAGAGCTGCTGATGTTTCGCAAGGCAAAGCCACATCCTCGAGTCCTTCCTTGGCACACGTCACGCAGCAGCCAGCAACTTTCAGAGCAGCGCTGGAGCCTCATGCAGCAACTGGAGATAATGGCTCATACTTCTCCCCTTAGCAAAAACAGCCCCTTGGCCCCAGCCCCTGCCCTGGCCAGGCCCTCCACCACCTCCTCTCCTTTACCTTCAGTCCGCAAACTGGAAATCCACTGTTGCCATAACACTGTTGCCAAGGAAATACAACAATATGCTTATCAATAAAAAGTGCTGGGTGTGCACAGACAAACCAGCTAAATTTGCTGGGCCTGGAGCCACTCCTCCTGTTCTCCAGCTGTCCTAACCCACCTGTGACCTCCTCTGTGGCTTTAGACATTAGCACACGCACAAGCAGAGACACAGAAAGACTTACTGGCCTGAGGAGCTTCCTCATTCCTTCAATCCAGCACTGCAACCAACTGACCTGAGAGGCTGCATGGTTTCCAGACCCAACAGAACTTCCTCTGATCTCACAGACAACCCTGCTATGAGCAGCACCTTGGAGAAAAGGCTTCCTGAGGCCCTTTCCAGCCCGAGCTACCCTCTGACTGTTGCTGGTCATTTCTCCGACTCCAATTGCTCCTTCACTGGCACAAAATGCTCACTCCCAACAGGCAGCAGCACTGATGGGATCTGAGTGTCTCAGCTCCCATTTGGCCACCCCCACCAGGGAACAGCCCCTGTTGTTGCTGCAGCTCCACAAACATGTGGATGTCACTATCCACGCATATAGCTCTTGATCCTGCAAGAAATGATAGAACTTGGTACAGAAAAGTAAGAGCCAGATTTTGTAAACCCTTTTCAAGAGACAGAAGCCTGAGTAATTCATAGACATGAGCTCTGACCCAGAGCTAGGGAACAAAGGCCAGAACTTTGGTGTTAACACCAGGGTTAACCAAATCAGGCTCCTGGAAATCCACCACTGAGGATTTCCCAGACAGCAAAGGTGGAGGATTCCCAAATCCACAGGAAATAGGAAATTCCAATATTGAATAAAGAAATACTAAAAACTGAAGTAATGATAAAAGAAATTTGAATGTTTGAATAAAAAAATCTTAAAAACCTACACACATTTAATCAGGCCAGTAAAAAATTTTGTTTCAGTGTTATAATCTAAAAGAAAAAAATTAAAACATGTTTCTAAAGCTTCTTCCTCGCTCCAGAATAATCTCCAAGAGACTCTAGTATTTGGGCAGGAAAAAGTCTTACCAGCAGTGCTTACCATACTCTGAACTTTTCCCACCTACTGCTTTCTTATCTTTAAGGCTTGGATGTTTTAAGAGACCTTACCTGGACACCTAGGGGTTTTCCCCATATTTTTGTTAAACAAAATTGAAAACCAAGCTGAGTCCTCACATTCTTCCAAACAAGTTCACACACTCCTTCAAAATCAGAAAGAGGAAATAACCTAACCTGAGAAACAGGCTGAGATTTATTTTATTTTAATTATTAAAAATGACATTGTTAATTTCAGGGCCTTCAATAATTCAGCTCAATTACCCAGGGGACAAAACTGTCAGACCAAACCCTGTAAAATATCTATAAACAAAAAACCTATCAGTAGCAGGCAGAATGAATCTATTAGCCTCTCCCCCAGTCAAAAACCACGCTGCCAGGCGCTGGCATGGCTTCAGGTAATAAAAGTGATGCTGAACATTTCGGGAGGGAACAATGCTCCATGTGCAGTTAGAAGCAGGTGGCAGCATCCTTTCTTCCACTCGGCTGGGGTTTTTTAAAGCCGTAGCCCTTCATCCCCTCCAAATCCTTTTGTTCGGCAAACGAGGCGCCCTGCACAGATGGCACTGACCTGTGAGACAAACTGTTCCGATAGCTGCTCACCCTGGCCGGGAGCAGAGCGCACAGGGAGCGTGGGGCACACAGCCCTGCCGGGGCACCCGCGCCTCCCCCCGTGCAGGCCAAGGGACAGGTGGGGGGAAAAGCATCGTGCCCTAAAAGAAAAGCTAAGGTACCGAAAAGAGTTGAAATGGTCGTGACAGCAACACACCCAGCGTTTTCGCTCTGCCTCGCACGGAAAGCTCTCCAGCACAAAGGAGCGCATCCTGGTATTTGTACAAACCAGCGCCTCCCTCGGCGCCAATCGCAGCCCCGCGTCCAGCCGCCTTCCCTGCCTGCTTCTCCCATTCCCAATGAAAACGGACCCCTCCATTCCATCTATCTCTTTCTTCTCCCAAGCATATTTCGTGGGGGAGGGGAAATAGGTAGGAGCGCCTGGGGACAGGACCCCAAAGAAATCTGTGTCAGCTTCTTGTCACCAGATCATTCCTCAGAAAAATAAATGCCAAGTTAAATTCCATAAGCCACCGTAACCACCAGAAATGCGGGTTCCTGCGAACAGAAATACCATCACAAAGGTCACATCGGTAGCAAGTGTGACCTGTGCTTGGAGCCAGGCAGAGCCCTGCCCTTCTGCTTTGCTGCTCCTGCATCTGGAGGAGGTGGACATCAGATGCTGCATCTCCATTTAGAAACAAAAAAGAAAATCTATGCCTTTTATTGGAGGTGCTGTTGTGGAATTTGGTAAATGGATAATGTGTTCAGTATCTACTAGCATGACTATAAACACAAAAAAAAAAAGAAAGGAAAAGCCTACGGCAAGACTAATATTAATACCCAGTCATGTCAGTCTCAATTAAGTTCATATCTAATGAGCCCATTTTCTCCTTGCACTGTCCACTGATGCTGTAAGCAATGTCCAATGAAAAGCATAAAATGCCGCTTCTGGAAAGCAATGATCTGTACTGGTAAATTTTGAACCCACCAATTATGAACATTATTTTTAATGGAACGAGCAGGGTTTCTACCAACTATAGTCATCAATGCCAGAAAATGTCTGTGTCCACAAAATGTCCAGACTTCTCTCACACTTCTCTCAGACTGCAACCATTATTGCTATTATTTGATTTCTTATATATATATATATAATGTAATTAAATCTCCTGTGCACCCTAGCTGTAAACCACTCTCACTCAGCATTGCATTTGCATTAGGAATGTCTATTTACCAGGAACAGCAACTGTTTCTCTAGATTATACAAAATCTGAACCTCAGTGAAATCTATCCAAGAAGCGCCCTTCACTATTACGTAGAATGTAATTTAACTGGGTTGCCCTAAAATCAACTTTGTAGCACTGATACATGGAAAATCTTACATCATCCCCCAAAAGTGCTTATCTGCTGCCTGCGGAAGGTGTGGCAGGGAGAACCAAGAGCAATGCTGGGCAGATCTCAAGCCAGTAGAGCAGGATAGCGCTGAGGCCAAGTGAACAAGTCCTGACACACAGCAATCCCTGGAGGAGGTTACGTTATGCCCGGATCCTCCGCTACAGCCTTCATTCCCACAGGCATCCATCCATCCCTGGGTTGCACTCCATGACAAGGCACAGGCACACCCTCCAAATCATTTTAATGAAAACTGGTTGAAGGGAGAAAGTTAACCTGCTCCCCCCTCCCCCCAGTCTAGTTCGCTTTATAAAATTAATCTTTGCATTGACTGTGTTTGTGTAATCCATATTAGCCTGCATGGCTGGAGGCTCATAGAGGTCATGTGGTGCTCTGAAGTACATGGAAGGGCAGCTGCTTTGCTCCAGAACAGAAGAGACACCTCTCCTCATCATGATGCCCTCAACTCATTACTCTCCTTCCATCCTCTTTTCCTGGGAAAAGATCACTTAATCCCAATGCTCATACAGTGCACGGTTGGCTGATTCTCATCCCCTCCCAGGGAGCTCTGGAGCATACAACCATGTCTAAGAAGCTCTCTACATCAATTCTTAGTCAAGAAGACACAGAAATAAGCAGGACCAGCTCCCCATATGGATGTGGTATTGGTCTACTCTTCTTAGCCAGGGAGAGCACTCTAACAGAGGAGGGTTAAACCCAAAATACAGATCAAAAGCCATTTTAGCCAGTGAGAGACATACTCAGGTAGGCACAGCAACAACCTGAGAGTGAGTTTTGAAGCCAGGCACAGGCCTGTCCTTTCCAAATGTATCAACAGTTGTGCTTACACTGTCAGCCCAGCTTGCCCCACAGCTTTGGTCTGCCTTCATCCAGCACTTCATCACTAACATCTCATCTTCTGTCCAAACCAACCAACCAAACAATTGAAGGCCAAAACAGTGATCCCAGTGGGATGCTGGATAGACTAGGAAGACTGTTTTTACCGGTGTTTCAAGGAGGGACAGTGAAAGAGCAGAGAAAGAAACACACACTAAAGTACAGTCCATTTCTCAAAGATTTAAGCACACAGGTTGAATTCTCCATGAAGGTTTCCCTTAAAACCTCTAATTAAAAAAAAAAAAAATTCCCCTAGACCGGACCTGTACTTGCAAGAAAATAAAATCTCTCCCTTGGGGTGGGAGAAGGGGGAGAAATGCTCTGAGCCAGTTCAACCTCAAAGAAACAATGCTGTTGTTTTAAAATTACACATCTTTCTGAAGTCAGCCAGACAGAAGTGAATCTTTCCAAACCTATCTGCTTTGTTTTTTTCTCACTGTTTTAGCATAGTTTTACAGGAGAGGGAGGACGTAAAGAAAAGTCAGTATGTTCAGGAGGTATTTGTGTCCTACATGACCCTCACCCCCATATTCACACACTGCAATCTGATATAATCATTTTATTACTGCTTTAGCTCTGCTAAATCCAATTTACCCACCAGGCCATAAATCTTGCTGTGTATAGCAGCAGAGCCCTGGTTGCAAGCTCGGAGAGATGCCCCACCGAGTGAGGAGTGTCCCAAGCGGGTTACTGTTTAACCTGCAGAGTGGCAGTGGAACAAACAGCATGTCAGTGTGTGCAGCCCCAAATGGCAACACTGCAGACCATCGAGACCCAAATGTTTTGCAAATACAGAGGAAGAAAAATAAAAATATTTGTATTCAGCAGCTCCACCAAGTCTCTATAAACACTCCAAGGTCGAATCCACATGTGGAGTGCTGAATGATCAGTCATGTGTTATGAAATTCTCCCTCCAAAACCCTCAAGTTTTAAGAGTGTCTGGCAGAGATAAAAGACCTGGTAGGAAATCAAATCTGTTTCACAGGGTAATTATCTTCCATCTTTTACAACTGTTGCCAGAAATGGAACAAAAAAAAGGGAAATTAGGATTATCACCTCCAAATGCTGCAAGAAGAGCCCTGTGTCCTCTTGCACCATCGCTGTGCCTGGCAGCCTCGCAAGGCTGAGCTCTTGCACAACTCCAGGGCTGGCACCCAGCCCACTGGTTCAGGGAGGGGAAAGCACAGAAGCAGCACCCATCAACAAGCGGAGAGAAAAATGCACAGGGGTGTGATCCTAAACTCTGGGAAAAAGGCTGGAGGGCTCCTTTAGTCATTCCTTTGCCACAGGTAATGCCAGTTAGGACATGGGCTTGATGCCCGCTTTGGGCAAGCAGCTTGGCAGCAAGGTAATTGTTGGCCATGTTTTGGGAGCTTGCTTTGTTTTATCCCTTATTCCAAGCGTGAATGTTGGAGTTGGCTTGACTTTGATGCTGGAATTCCTGGACTAGGACAAGCAGACTGGTGGCAAGGAAGGAGAGACTGGAAAGCAACCAGTTCTGCCACTGAAGAAAATATGCTGGGTAGCTGGACCCTTTCCTGTGAGGTCTATTTTGACCCCAAGCATAAACTGTGATTCCAAGGCAGAGGAGGTCCCTCAACCCCGGTCACAGTAAGGAAATAAGGATGATCCCCTGGTTTAACTTCATTGCACAAGGTATTCCCCCTGCCCCCACTCCAACAGTTTCTTATGAAATCAGCTGAAGCACTAGGAGCAAGGAAAAAAAATATTAATTCCTAAAGCAACGACAGCCTGCCAAGTTTTTAAAGAGGCAAATCTTGAGTGGCTCTCTGGAAACTCAGGTAGCTCACTGCATGAGGCAGGGGGAGAAGCTAAGTGCTCCACTCCCTTCCCTCAGCCTCTTCTTTTTCATGTATTTCTGCTTGATACAAAAGCTAGTGACAATCTGAATGG